CTTATTTAATCTTTGTATTAAATAGGGGAACTTGTCGGTCATATATAAAAGGTTCGCAGACTAAACGGATGTCACAAATCTCTTAGTTTGCAGGATTGGGTCTATCGCCGAGGTCTACACTTATCTTTCGGGAGGGTGTAGTATTCGCGGTATCAGGCACGATTATGCAAACTATTGGACGAATGAGATCCATTTGGTCTCATTTTTCAAAAACTAAAACACACTACTTTCAAAACCCAAACTATATATCTTTTATATTTAAATTAAATCTCAAAAATTATTTTCATATATCATATTTTTCAAATAAATCTAATCAATCGAAAAAGTTGACCGACACCAGCATGTTGGGATCAGACAGGGCCGGTTCAGCCGACCCCCAAACACAACCCCGGGGCATACATCCTTTTATATGCATGAAAAATGCTTATTTGATTTTTTTTAAAAGTTAAAATTGTGGTCTTAGATGGTTTGATCTCATTAAACATCAACTATCTGATGATCCGATTAGGAGAGTAGATGTTTTAGATTCGACTTGTGTTAAGAAAGACAGGTAGACTTAGGAAGACTTGGGCTTATTGTATAAAAAATGATCTTATTTTACTAGAACTAAATGAAACTATGACACTAAATAGGACGCAATGGAGAAAAAAAGATTCATGTAGCCTACCCCACGTACTGGGATTAAGGCTTTGTTGTTGTTGTTGTAAGTTAAAATGATGATATTTTTTATGTGATGTGAAAGATTTGGGTGGTATAAATATAAAAAGTTAATGTTTAGGTGTTAGATATGTAAATACATAGGCATTGGGTGGTATGCATGTAAATGCCCCAAATTATAACTCAAATCTCAGTGAAGTGTTTAGTGAAGGTTTTTGTATAAGCAAGAGCATTCTGGTTTGAGCTTTTTACGACCCTTTCAATCAGCTCCCTTTTGTATCACAATTAACAAATCCTAGGTACAAATCATTTGGGCCAAACACATTATCCAATACAAAATGCTCACAATCTAATTTCTAATTTCTATCAAATATTCCTACAATAAGAAATTAATGGAATATCATAAAATCATGGAAATTGATCCATAATGGAAGCATCATCAATGTATAATTTTTCAAAATTTAGATAACTTGACCAAATTTAGTTTCAATCCTTTTATCTACGCATCATCAATGCAATGAAACCAATTTAAATTATCAGGCTGAAATATTCTAGACTTGTATCAGTAGATTTTGTACTTAATTAGAATAATAATTCTCAATAATCAACTTGACTAATTTGCAACTTACTGTAATGAAAAATTGTTAGTTTTCCTTCTCACAGTTGATCACTGCTAGTCTGCTTGTACTTGTCTAAAAAAAAAAAAGAAAAAGAAAAAGAAAAAAGAAAAAAGAAGTTTTTAAAACTTGTTAATTCTCTTTTTTTTATGAGTTCTAATTTCACTCTTTTATATGGCAGGTTCGCTTCCTCGCGAGATCATTTGCAGTACCTGGCAATCACCTTGGACAGCAGAGTAATGGTTATCGGTGGCCTTATGGTTCTGTATGACGTTCTTTTGGAAAATTTACATACATACCACTCAATTCTTATATTTTTACATATATAACACCTAAACTTCAATTTTTACATGCATACCACCTTACCTATGCATGGAAAGGTGTATTTCACTTTTTAAAAGTTAAAATGGTGGTACTTTTGATATGCTATGTAAAATTTGGGTGGTTTAAATATGAGAAGCAAATTTTAGGCATTAGATATGTCAATACATAGGAATTGGGTGTTATGTATGTAAATGCCCCCTTTTGTTCTCGCGGTTTTTTCTTTTTAAGATGTGATATCTGTAAAATGTTTAAAAAATGCTTGGAAATTTAGTGGAGCAATGCCATAGATACACTGGCCTTGGAAGTTACCTACCCTCTTAGGTTGTACAGACAACGAGTGCCCATATATTGACTCTCAAATCAACTAAATAACTATGATTTCATAATTATTATCATAAATTTATTCCAACTATGTATGGTAGGCTTGTACGGTAGGCTTTATGAATTTTCTATCCCATTCAATACTGTTGTAAAATAACATTAATGTAGGGCCGCTTAATTATTTACAAGCATGAGCTTGCTTAGGCAAATACAGAGATTTATTTGTGCTAATTATCCTCCAGTTTGAGTATTTTGGGCCTTTTTAACTGGTAAATCTGTAGTTTAACCAATCTCATAGTGTACATTCTACCTTTTGAAAGCTTAGTCAACTTTTTGCGCAATTATTGAGTTGAATTTTCATTCCCAAATATTCAGTTTTATATCTGATATACAAGTAGATCTAGATTATGGAAGACAGCTGCTATTTTGTGATAAATTGTTTCATGATATTTTGATCTTTTTAATTGAGCAGTTAATTGTCACCCATTGCACCAAATGGACCATCCCGATGAGTTCAAAATGCCAAAATGGTCCATAAAGTATTGCTCGTATTGCTTAAATTGTTACATGAAAAAAAAAAAAAAATGACACACCACACATGAGGAGGAAATTTGAGTTCACACAGATACAAAAACTCTAAAGAGGGAGAAAATAATAATAATGATTTGAGTAATAATGAAGATTATATACACACGCCAGTACTCTAAAAAGGGGAGAAAAAAATCATATTAATAATGATGATATATATAAGTATGTATGCATAATTAAAATAAAAGAGCAATATTACGAGAGTTTTTTACTGCCTTTGAAAAATCCTTTTTTTATTGCTCTTCAGGCACTTTGAATTTTCTTCCTAGAGTCGGGCCTCTTTCTTTAATAACTCCATAACCATCTTAATGGCTCACCTGAGCCCCTTGTTAGTCTCGTCTCTTTCTCTTTCAAATATCCGTTCTCTCTGTCAACTTTGTGCAAGGTATGCTGAATTGCCTAATAAACTTGCATGGACCACATGTACATTTTTCTTGATAGCTAGGGTAATATCTTGAGTTATTTTTTATTTTCTTTATGCAGTGAACTTATAAAAATGTCCATTCATGCCTTTCTTGGCATGACGGACGTGAAGAATTCTTGTTAGTGCTCTATGTACTACACATACATTTCTTTATTGATGCTGCGGCAGACTTTATTTCATCCATGGTGTCCCGTACAATTTACACATTAATGCCTTTAGTATATGGAGACAGTTTGATACTCTTTTTACACCCCTTCGTTGGGTGACATGGTAATGCTATTGAAATCTACTTGAAACCCACCAGAAAAGTTGAGCGGAAATAATTTTGGGACAAAAAATATGTAACAAAATCAAAATAACGGGTGAAAAGTGCAAAAGCACGATAGAATTAACACAAAATGCACATGTTACATAAAAAAAAAAAAAAGGAAAAAAGAGACCAAATGGATTTATGTGAACTCCACTGGTTCGCTAACGAGCTTTAAATGATTGCTTCAATAGCTCTAGAGGTATTATTGCCTCAAATTATGGACAACATATGATTTCAATCCCAAAATAACTCTTGATCTACTCAATATTTCTCCAATACATTTTCTAATTTTGCATTCATATTTGCTCAAAATTTCATAGGCTTATTTGAAACTATTAAGAAATAAGTCAAACAAAGTAATATTAAGTATGTTTATTCTATAAGACTGTATCTACAGTGTGTGTGTACACACACACACACACACAAACACACACACACACACATATTTATATAATGAAGTTATATAATGAAGGTCACACACACATATTTATATAATGAAGGTGATTATGTGCAAAAAAATTTAAGTTAAAAAAGTCAATACATGTACGTGTTACCCATCGAAATTTTTTGGGAAATTTAGTTCCCGAGCATAATTTCTTGAATGGAAGTGAACATATTGATTAATGTTGTGCTAAATGATGATAGTGGAGATAATAATTTTCTTATGAGGTGGAAGGACAAGCTACCTATAGGCAATACATGGCTTACTGGAGTTGAATTAGATAAGATGGCGTCTGAGCTTGTGGAGGGCTACTTTGATATTAACTCTTCAAAGAATAGTTTTTAAGGGATAAAAAAAATTGTACAACACAAGATCTAGCTATAAGTAGTTGGAGATAATAAAATTGTCTTAATCACAAGAGGCTTCGAGAAGACCTAATTTATTAGGAGATTTTTTTTTGTTATAATTTTTATTTTATTTTTCAAATATTATCCTTAGGTTTAATGCCTATTGGCTTATATGTACATTTTTAAATTTTAAATTTTATGAAAGTTTAAATTTTCAAAATTTGGGGGAAATTAATTATTATGATTACAGGAAAATGTAATTAATCATATGCAATCATGTATTTGATTAATTAAATAATTTTTCTAGGGTTTTTAAACTTTAAAGGGCCAGCCCCACCTTCCCTCCTTTCAAATGGAGAGGCTGCCCCTTTGACCTTTTTCTCCTCCTTTTGAAATTGCATTAGGGTTATCATCAGGGACCATAATTTTGTTGTTTTTGGTGAAATGAAATATGGTTGATCATTGAAAAAAAATCGAGTTTTCATCTAGGGCTGAGAGACTTGTTGGTGGCCCATGAAGTTGGAGATTTTGTAATCTCCCCCCTTCCTGTTGCTTTAGTGAGTGAATAATTTATTATTTCCTGCGCTTTTTTTATTATTATTTTTTTGCTATGTAATTCTCGCACATTCATCTCTTTACCTGTCCATAACAAATCTCCTATGCAATCGTAATCTAAATCCACCTCGAAGTCGCGGCTAAGACTAGGCCAACTTTGACCTAATTTTGTTTCTTTGTCTACTTGATCACTTTATACTCTTTGAAAAATTATGAAAAACACCATAATCAATTGATCCCAAAGCATTCTGCCATAATAGTTTCATTTTTGATCTAGTCTTCAAATAAAATTTAGGAAAAATAACAAAACTCTACAAAAATTCATGAAAATTTTTATAACATCTATATGTATCTAAATCTATAATTTTCAAATAGTTTCTTGCCCTCAGGCTACATATATTCTCTACGCCAGAAGCCTAAAATCATTTTTAAGGATTTTAGCTGCATTTTGTTTGTCGGACCAGAACTTGGTTTTTCCATTGATCTGTCTATCCAAACCATAATCATTTGCTGACACACATTTCTTCATCTTTCAAAATGCATTGGTTTGGGCTGCTCCCACATTTCCCTCGATGCTATCATGATAGTCCCCATTTCTTTTTTCCATTTTTTTCTAAGAACCAATTCGCCAAGATTTACATGGATGCTTGTTTGTGTTTGCGTCTTTTTGCATGATTACATGTGTGACTATGTGATCTCTAAGGATCTTTTCTTTAGTGGGAAAAGGGGTTGTAACGTTACTCTTGGTTATAATACTGGAGAATGGAAACAAAATTGCAGTTGTGATTGAGGCCATAACCAAAAGAAACAATGGCTGTGCTGTAACAAATTTTCACCTGATGTACCATCCCAGCCATACATTCTTCTTAAATCTTCTTATCTTCTCATATTGTAGTCTAGTAGTTATTCAAGTCCTTGTTCATTATTCTACAGCTTGCCAGCTCTCCATTTTCTATGCCATTAATCAGTTCAGTCAAGCACTTTTTTTCTCGGTGACACCGTTTTAAGGCTTCTAGTAGGTGTGGGAGAACATAGAAAAGAGGTAGGTGAGTTGTAGGATGGGTAATGGGGGCGGGGAGAATGATTTTGGCTGAAATGCGGTGGGCATGGCAGCTGGACCGCAAGCCGGCAGTGGAGAAACCGCAGGATTCTGCTGTCAAACAGCACTTGCCTGCAGGTTCGACGACAAAGGTGGACATCGAATGTCGTACAAAGATCGCCACCTCGATCCAATTAGGTTACAAGAACACTACCTGAGAAAAATCTAAGAAAATATCACTCCAATAGAGAAAACAGGGAGAAAACATCTCCAAATAATATAAAACTTAGCAAAAGTTTTTCAAATCAGGTCTAAAACAATATAATTGTATTAAAACATTCATTAAATTCTAATTAGAAATAAAAAAAATAGGAAATATGGCCCTTATAGCCTGAAACAACGAGAGATTTCCCGCTACAGGGCCGCTTGGGACCGGAATTTATCCCGATATGTGATGTGCCCCTGGTGTGTGCTGTTTTTCTGCGTGTTTTATGTCAATTTAAATACCCGGTGACAGTGTCAAAAATTTGACTCATCCTGAAATTACGCAGTAATTTTGCTTTCAAAAATATGATAATAAACTTAACCTAATTTATATTAAGTAGTTAATGCACAAAATCATAATGTTATAAAATATATAAAATAGTTCGCATATTAGTGGTTCTACGCAAGTGCACGTATCGCTTCACGTAATATAAGACTTTCTTTAAAAACCCCAGTATCGATCCCACAGGGAAACGCAGTAAGAAATCCCTTAGGCTAATTCTAGTTTACTATTATCAAGTCTTAGTTTGGAAGATGAAAATTTATATGATAATAACATAAATCATAATATTCAAACTACAAAAATTAAAATAAGAAAAACAAGTTAAAATGGGTTTAATGAATGTTAACAGAAATGTAACTAAAAGAACT